AATATATCTACTGATATATAGGACTTACAGTTTAACGCCGGATTCAAACGGTACTGCTGATCAAAGATTTCTAATCACCAGATGGAGTCATTTTCGGCTCCATAACGTGAAAAATCGTGTATGTGGGCGCAATCGGATTTACAGATCGCGAATCAATCGCACCGAGTGGCAAACCACTCGACGCCTAATATATCATCTTCAATTACTTTTAATTTTAAAGGTGTTTATGCATGTTTTATATTGCTAGGTGAGGGGGGTGGGTACTTCAGCTACCATTAATGAGGAACAATAATTAACATAAAAAGATCAAAGGTGGAAAAATTTTCAAAAGTTTTTCAATCTGACGTGCTATTGATCCTAGTCATCCGAAGCGTCTTAACTTGCACTCGCTCACCGCGTGGGGGAACTTATTAAATTTATAACGAACAAACGAGTGAAAAGTTAAATCTGAAATGAAAATATGGCGCACCGAACGGACGCGAATATCGGTGCACTGAAACGAAACTGATAGCGCTGAAACAAGATTGTGGTTTATCGCCTGCGTAAAGGTCGCCACAAGTTCCGCGAGTAATTACGTCGCAGAAATAACTTTGCACAGGGGCAAAGATGATCTAAGAAATTAAAGGTCTGTTTTCTATGGCTGAACTAGTGTACTTTTGGAACTTGAAATGAGATAGGTACATGTTATATATCGAAAGCAAGAAAGAGAGTTCTGGTCCAGTTTAGTGCAGGAACAGAAAACAGACTACAAGATCGGAGAACACACTTATGAGATTCGATCGGTCAAAATCGCGGCAAAATCGGAAAAGTCTTTGCGTGCTAAAACGCATTGAAAGAGTACAATAAATTTGTTTTCGTACGGGACATTGTTTTCGAGAAAATTCAGGACTCGAGTGTTAATAAAAAATGCCATACATCTTTTTAAAAGATCTTCAATAAGTTTAATGCATTGTTTTGTACTGACAAAGAAAAATAAGAGAATAAAGAAAATAAACTATTGTTTTCTCTTTCGATAAAAAATTGTTTTACCATATACCGCTGAAAAAGAATCTTGAAAAGAAGCTGAAAAGGAATACATTTTATTTCGAATGAGATCAGACAGGCGAAAAATAGATCTATGAATATTGAGAGAGAGGTGCCCCCGTCTTGAATCAAGAATGTGTTTTTTATAAGATTGCTGATGCGCTTTGACTTTCAAATCAAATGAAATCTTTCAAATATTAAAAAATATGATTTGATGATCATGCGTCAGTTTTGTATTTTCTAAGATAATCTGGCCGTTATTTAAAATATTACAAGTTTTTGAAATTGTAATACATTTTGTGAGAATTTATTCAGACGTATTTTTATTATTGAGTTCGGCTAAAATTACGTGATCGGATTAGAAGACACAGATGCAATTTATAGAAGCGATATTATCAAATATTGAAATATACATTAATAAAGTTGGTGTTCGCATTTTCGCTTTAGTTATTGATGAAGACCTTGAAAATCCGTTCAAAAACAATTTCATAATTAACATAAAGCACACAAATTCACCGAGGTAGCAAGGTGTCGTCTATTTAACGTTTATTTAACGTCTATTTAACGTCTATTTAACGTCATTAATTAATCATTCTTATGACGAATGAGACGTTTAAAATGACATCCAAACATCGTAAAAATGACGTGGATTTGTGACAGGTACATAACGTCATAAGTCGACATCAAAAATACGTTATTTTTTCATGTTATTGACGGTAGCAAGGTGTCGTTCATTTGGCCTCATTAATTAGTTACTCTTATGACGAATCTATACGGTTTCTGAGACAATGTAAAAATTACAAAAATAAACAAATTTGCTAGGTGTTGAAGTTATAAATATTCTCTCTCTAGTAAATTCAATTACTTTTGTAATTTTTACCTCATTTTGAGAACCATAATAAGCTCTTTGACGTCTAAACATCGTAAAAATGATGTGAATTCTTATATTTCTTATCACTCACACAATGTCATAAACTGACATCAAAAATACATCATTATTTTCGTATTATATTATTAACGCAATAAATGTACGCTATTAATTGATTACTAATAATATTACTAGTACGTCGACAATTAGCCATTTATTCGACGTTATTAAGTATAACATTATAAAGACGTCATAAATAAATGACGTCATTAATTGGTCAAAAAGATGAGATCATTATTACGTCTTAAATAGGTCACATGACTTCAATAATAATTAAAAATTACTAACTATCGACATCAAAAATAACGACAGCTTGCTTCATGGGAATCAAGACAAATAAAAATACAGAGAAAATAAAGAAAATATAACACGTATTTATGCGAAATACGTTGAGCTTTTAACTCACGTTTCAACTTAGTTAAACTTTTCGAATGATTAAATTTACTCATTAATTGTGTTTAAGTTTTTAGTTGTTTTTCAAGTTGAAACTAAAGTAAGTAGTTCAATAGTTTCTTAGCTTCAATAGTCTTTCTTCGAAAAAGAAGTACTGCACGATAACTTTATCATTGAATTTAGAAGTTCAAGAATTGAACATAAAAGAATGACTGATATAAAAATAAATAGTAAGATTTACATTTTTCTTCCTCCAAAATATATTGTATATTTTTACTTTATATTTTCTAAAATATCCTTTAAAATACAAGTATTTTCTATATAATAGCCGGAATTTTTTTTCTTATTTGATTATTTTTATACTTCAAATATGCAGTAAATTATTTTTTCTTTACTTTATGCGATATCGATTATCATTAATTTCTGTTTAAGTTTTGCATTATGAAATTAAAGTATTCTATGTCGTATATAATGCATCAGTAACATGCAATTACGCGTGGAAAAGCGTAATTAAAAGTAATTTCCGCTGGCAATTACTGTAATTAAACCTGTGCGACAGTATAAGGTACGGCGTGTTTTCTATTGATGATGTTGTATATCGACGTGTTTTAATCCTTCGACGAATTTTTACGACACTCTGGAAAACCTTCAGAATTTCTCGTGAAATAAGAACATAATTATATTTTTTTGTAACATTTCAAAATTAGCACAATACTATACTATTAACTTAAATGAAAAAAATTTGCATACAATTTTAAATTAGAGTTGATTTAAAGTATTAAGTAAAGACGGATTAATTCATTTTATCATACGTTTGAAATCGTTCGTGATATTTGTACAATGTGATAAGTTTCATTATTTAAAGTTTTACATTGACACTCGGAAACAACACATATAACAACTACTTCAAACTTTGCTAATTTAACTTAAAGCGGATTACATTTTGTGGTGAAGTATAGAAGTGGTATAAATTTCTTCGAAGTGCATCGTACTATCTTTTGTTATTTATTTCGTAATAGTAACGCGAAGTTCATGCTAGTATTGTACGTACTAATCACTTAAGTAAGTCGTTCACAACTTCATAGGCAATTTGTCTATTTAAGTTGCTCTTAATTTTAATGACATTCTTTCAATGAATTGGCATTTGTTTCTTCTTTAATAAAAGTATCAAAACGTTTGTAATATTTCAATTATAAATAAACTAAAGGAAAGAGAGAGAAAGAATTTTCTTTGCAAACTCGATTGCAGAAAAATAAATTGATAATAAAACTCTTATTCTGCAGTTGATTTTAAATTGACTTTATTTTAATAGAACTTTAATTCGTGATTTTATTATAAATATGTATTAATATTGAAAATTGAAAGTTATTATGTAATAAAGAATTTATCTTGAAATTTTTCCTAAGATAAAATTGATCGCTAATTTAAAAATTCTGTTATTAAAATTAGCAGAAAATTATAAGCTAAGCTGCTCTTTTATTACGTAGCTTCTGAGTTTGACGCCAAACCATTGTATAGAATTTGATGTATTATATGCACGTAATTATATAAGAGGATAGATAATCCCTCGTTATATTATCATCCATTTAAAAGTTAACTAACTGTACGTTTTCTAGAAATTTGCTTAAACAAACTAATTAGATCCCACGGCGAACATATCACCGGAAATCCCAGACCGACGTTATTGTCGTATTCAAAGTTTATGTATACTCGCAAAATACCACTGCATAAACTAGAGACAAACAACAGCAGCTTCTATTACAATTCTAGATTTAACAACCAGTGACATGTTTGGCTAATAAGCAACCAATGTTTGTTGACGAATAATAATTTAAGGGTAACTATAATTAGAAATATTGCACTGTTGAATAAAACGCAATAAAAACAAAATTTAATCTTTTTACAATTATATTATAGAAAAATATGTAAATAGGCGTTATTACATCTTTTATCTTTTACTATACTTATACTATACTTTTTACTCTCTAAAACTTTTGGAGGGAATCTCATTCTGAAGAAACGAAATCTCACTCTTAAAGATCGAAAATTGAACCACTCCTTTCCAAGACTGGCTCAATTTTCACTCTTTAGAATGATATTATCTCTACTCCAAAGAATTTAAAGAATATATAGAATATTTTATATTTTATATATTACATATTGAAGGAATTTCTTAAATTTAAAAAACTGCAATGACATATTTAATCTTGCAATTTTCAAAACTTCTTTCTGCGATAACTAAATGAACTTTGTATGAAAACATTTTGTTCTACACTTTTCATTTATTTTTGCATGCAGAAATATTTTTTTTGTTTTTTTTTTCTAGCTACGGAGCACTTTGTACTTTACCTAGCAGTGGTTACTCATTACTCCAAATGACTTTTTTAATTGAGCGTTTACACGCCAACACTCTCATTCATAAAATAGAAAATGTCTCCTATATTTTCCTGACATACAACAATACAACAACAATTAACGTAGAGAGCTCTTTAATGCCTGTGTCGTAAGTGCTAGGGCGATAAAAAGGGGAAAAGTCTAGGTACCCAACTTTAGCTTTATATTAAAATACACACTGTAAGGCTGTACAGCTAATCAATATTTACAAGAAGAAAAGAAAAACACTGATTATGATGCTGCAGAAGTCATTGATATCGTCGGAAATTGCGTGGACATTGCAAAGTCGGAATATGTACCAGTTGGTCGACGCTGCTGGGTCTCATTAATCCATCGGCGGAAACATGCTATCGGAATGCGGCGGGTTGGTGCACTTCAAGAAGAGACTAAAGCCTTGCAAGCAACGGTCTCGAGAACTAATTCGCGTTTTCGGAGGATAAGATGAGCAAAAGTGTGGAGTTACTCGCTGGATCGGAGGACAGTGAGCCAATACCTACGAGTAAGTAATATTGTAATATTACGAAATTGAAATAAACCTCGTTTTTACGAAAATAATTGATAAAAATAATTACTGTAATAGCTGGAAACAATTAGTAATTGTCCCATTTTTTAAATAGTTTTTTTAAATTTACAAGAATTATTGGATCCTTTAAGTAAAAAAGTCATTTCAAAAATTAAAAAATAATAATATATAAAAATTATATCTAATAAACTCAAAAATAATTAACGTTTAATGTAATTTCCTTTTATAAGTAAAAGCTTGATAAAAGTTGGATATTAATTCTCTTATATATTGTGTTCTTTTTTCTAAATAATTTGAATAATTTATTTAGCGATAGCGAAATATTTCTTACTTGTCTAGATAATCTATAAAATACAATATTATTACTGTAAAAACTGTAACCAACAATTTTGTCAATGTTCGATAAAATGATTATTAGATTCCTCCTATTCCTGATACGTGATCGACAGATGCAATATTCCAGCTAGATAACTGAACCAGATTGATTTCCGCGATACATTAGCTTGTTAAGATGATTTCCGGTGGAAGGAAGACAAAATCCAATAAACGACGAATGCATTTGCCTTATACATTTCCGGAATTCCAGAACACACGTGTAGAGTGTATGTCGTGTAGCATGATATTTCTGCTAACAAAAACTCGACTGTAAAATTAACAGAGAAATTAATTAAAATTACGGTCACGTTGAGTGCTCTGTACGTTAAATTCATATTAAGGTCTTATAATTGTATTTTTATTATTTCTTGTTGACGCAATAATTACTTTTTGCGAGTCTAAAAAAGTTAATAACACAATTTAATTTAGATGTAATAATTTTTAATTCTTAAAAAAAATAGAGTATTCTTTAATAAATAAATACTCGGCTAGCTGTTATAAGAGTCGGAAATTTATATCGATTGCGCGACACATCATCGTTCCTAGAATATAATAGAAAGTATATACTGAGCCTTTTAAAGACATTGTGATGCGTATTACTATGTTTAATAATACAGACGGATCGATATGCTTACATATGAGTACATATAATGTACTTCCCTTGTAATTCTTCTAAAAGCATTATGTATTTTTTTCTTATATTCCGAGTCCAAGCTTGTTCGGTTTCCGCTCCGTTACATCGACACGCTTTCAGTTTGGTCATGACTGGAAAATACTTGTTATACAAGCGTTTTCTTTATTAAGTTGAAATAAAATCGATAGAATATATAAGTTAGAAATTACAATGCACAGATAGATAAATAAATCGTAAGCAACAAATTTTTCCAGAACGTTTTTTAAATATGTGAAGTAGAAAAATTAATTCTAAATGTCAAACTTGGATGTTAAATGTATATGCATGTGTGTATACAAAACACACACACACACACATATGTGGTAAATACGTGTATGTTGGATTAATCATTTTAGAAATGGTAGGAGATAATAATAAAGGACGTTCCATTACTCTAGTTGAAAAATGTTGAGATATTACGTTAATCTTTGCCAACAGAAGCGCTGAAAGATTAAGTACTTAAAATGATTTAATGAACTTTGTGTACTTGATATATGATGACTACATCTTAAAATATTTAATTACTAAAATAGCGTGAATAAAGAGAAAGAAAATTGTAACAACAATTTTCCGAGTAAAAACCTGATTTAAAATATTCAATGTATCGAAATGTCACCAATATCGATAACGAATATTTCCGAATTGTATTTGGAATGAAGTCTATCTCTCCGTTGGGAAATCGCACAACTGTTGATATAAATGTTGCAAAAATCGAAAAATATTGCAAGTATCATTGACACTTTATGTAATATTCTATTAATAAAAAACTATTATTCACTTAATTTTATTGATTTTAAGATATTGAAGTATTACATCTTGCTTTGACAATTCGAATTTATATATATATATATACATATATATATGTGTGTATATTTATTTTAAAAAATATCAGATTATCTAAAACAGATTAGCCAAAGCGAAAGAGAGAGAGAGAGAGAGAGAGAGAGAGAAAGTTTAATAATATAAAAATATATAAAATAGAAAATATTTTCTATGGAATGCAGCAGACAAATTTTTTTAAACATTTCAATTGGTTAAAATAAACTTTAATTAAATGTATTCTATTAACACAGATGCAACAAATAAAATAAATGTATAAATTGTCTCGTAATCGTTGTGCAATTTCATTTACATATACATCTCAATGAGAAGGAAAATGTTTGTTTAATCGTCCGTGCACAATAAATAAAATTACTAAGTCGTTAAAGTTGTTTATACTTTGTTTATTCAAATCTTTTCATTGTTCACATAATGAAGTTTATCGCGACAATGCCAGCAAATTTCTTTCTCCATGCACTCAATACTGCAACTTGAAAATTGCATTTTGACTTGCAGGTAACACCAGCGCCCAAGAGAGATCCAGACTGAACTTGAACGGGAGCCGTCAGCTCTCGAAAAGCGCCACGGAGCTCCGAGACAACGAGATCGCAAATAGCTCGCCGTCGAGGCGAGGTGATGGATCGGGCGAGTCCGGCATCATTCATCATCATCGGCATCATCGGCATCACGGCACGGTGGCCCAGCGTACCCACACTTTCTTCGCGACTCTGAAAAGTCGCTGGTCGCGCAGCAGGAGCAAGGAGCGGAAAAAATCCAAGGATGCCGGTAGCGTGCAATCGCAGGACGCGGGCCAACTAAAAAATCTTGGTGTCGAGTCCGACTATGCCGCCGATTATTCCTCTGAGCACAGCAGAAGTTCCTCAGCCACTCAGAGCCCGGCCAGGCACTGCCTCAATCGCCCAGGTAAACGATTATTCCTTTGACCGATATTCCACTGACCTGTGCCAAATTTGTCAGATCTCAGAACAGATACTATCTTAAATTGAAATGCATAACCAATAAAAAAAATTATATGCCTGGGATTCTGGGAAAGGAACAAGATTAAAAGTGTAACGCTTTTACATGCACGCCGATGACCTAGTTATAAAATTTCTTTTATATCTGATAACCTCAACATCAACATATTGCATAACTACGACCTCGCATAGTTTGATTTTCAAACAGAAAACTTTGATTTATCTTTGTATTTCTCTCTCTTCATGTATCATCTAGTTAAGTAAAACAAATGTAAGAACTACAGAATAAAAAATGTAAAAGCTATTATTTAAAAAAATTGACAAAAGAATTTTTTAATATTATTATTATTAAAAAAATATCAGTAAAACGGTTTTTGAACGATTTAAAAATCTTTACTTAATTATTTATTAAACAGGAAAAAGCAGCCTAGAAATTAAAAAATACATAAAGTACATAATTTAGAAATTTTTAATGTATAATGATAATATTGTCATAAATAACGTTGAAAATTTTGAAGAATTACGTTGTATCTATACATATGTAAAGTTGAGAAATTTATCGCCTAATATTCTCATGACATGATAATTGCATACGCATAGTTTTGCAATATACCTGCTATGCAGCATTAAATGCATCGTGAATTGGATCAGTGCGATGAAGTATAAATAGCTCTGTTTGCATTGTTTGCAGTAATGCTTTTCAACCAATATTTGGTGAAACATTAATACCTCAATTGTGTCGTCTCCATAGCTTCATTTATTGCAAGAGAAATCGAGTCGTATAAACGTTCACATCTGTAGGAATAAAAATATTTACTTTTTTCTTTCTATAAATTATTTGAATGGTTAATAATTTCAATAATTAAGTACTCTTTTAATTTACTCTATTAAATAATTTAATATTCTTTTCATTACAACCATATATTTAAATATTATATTTAGTACCATAATTAATTTAATGTAATTGATATAAAATTAAAAACTTCACTTATATTTTTCAAAATTTTTTAATCGGAATTTTATTCTCTAAAGCGTAGAGCGTAGAAAAATAACAATCAGTGGTTTGATTAAAATCAAATATTGTTTTAATTCAGCTATTCAAATATATATAGAGCATTTTCAATGTTTTAAAATATAAAATCTTGATTATAACTTAAGAAACACGCAGTTTCTGATCTGTACAATTTATTTATTAAATTACAAAGCCTGTAAATTCCGCTTTGTTTTATTTTCTGTTTTTATGATATGACTTGAAACATACCAGTTTATCTGTAAAAATTATTGGATAAATACCGTGTTTACATTTACAATTAATATTTGTATTATAGTTGTATTATAGTTATTATCTTTAAAAAATGGTTTTTAATCTCCATTTATCAAGTCTTTGTCGTATTCGAGTGTGTTCTTGTGCAATTACTCTTTTTTTTTTATTCAAAGTCGTCACTTTGAACGATAAAAATTGAAGCGCACTGATCTATGGTACAGATGTCTGTTAAAGGGTTAAAAGATTTAACCTTTGGAATTATGTCTAGGTCATACGGATACGATCTAGAGTATTGAAGAATTAATATTTGTTGAATTTATTTGAATAACTAATTACTCGGAAGTTGTTGCATTTTCAAATAAATCAATTAAGTTTGATAAATTACCTAACTCGGCAACTGATCCTTTTTGTGAAATAGTTGCATCGTGCAAATTAATACTCTGATAGAACATTAAAATACAAATTCACATTGGAATACGAATATATATGCACATTTTAAGTGCACATACATTTTACATAATGTGAGCCAATCAATTACCACAGACATATTTAAAATATATTATAAAAATACATGAACATATTAAAATACAGTAAAACTAATTGTCCGGTCAATGCACTATTATATTGAAAATTTCCTCAAGCTGTTGTTTGGGTATTAAAAAATATATTGAATCCGTCATATCATGACATTATTTGTGGATGAGTGCTACTTCCATACTTGATAATTTTATTTCTGATAAACAAACGAGTTTGCTATTGACTTCTCATAAGCGAATTAAAATTCAACGTATTCAGATCGTTCTCTTATTATATTGTACAGAACATCATTAATCTGTTTCTTAAGTAAGTAGTGGTCAGTGTACAATTATTGATTTGGTATTAAGTTCTTTGTTAAAATATCGTTTTTTAATTACTATTATAGTGACTTTCTTAGTAGTTGAGTATCTGACGAGATACGATAGACGAAGATTACAGTCTTGACGAAAATTACAGCTTAACGATGTATTTTACACTTTTTACAACACATATCAAATGAATTCAATATATACTGGAAGATTATATTTTTTGCACTTTGAAGAGGACACAATATTGGTATTGAAACGTCTGTAATTATATTATATTTTTGGAATACATGAATCATTATTTTCACACTGAACATCTTGTGTAGGCTCCCATTGGCAAATTTCCTTAAGTTTTTATTGAAAAAATATTACATCAATAAAGTTTATATTTATTTATTAACTAATTGTTAGTATTGTCATACTAGTTTGAAGAATAGTCTGAAGAAATCATCAACATAATGGCGTTTTGTCTGGACAATTAACTCCGCGATTGCATATTAAAAAAATACAGATTTTGAATGTTTATATATGGAACAAAATTTGTTATTATATGGAACAAAATTTGTTATTTCCATCCAAATAATTAACTAGAGTAACACGTTCAACGATTAACTTAAATAATTCTGCATTCGCAATTTATACATGTAAATATATAATTACTTATTCAAATTGTACACATCGCTGATTATCAGTATGCAACTATTGCGCTTTTAGTGATATAACATGCATTAATTTAGGGATCATGCGGATGAGAATATCGAGCTTACAATTTGTACTTAACACCAAAAGTCGACATGCGCGGCACGTTTAGACCTCATTGATTAATTCGACATGATCCAGCACGAATACTGGCGTGCTTAAACGGATTAACCTAACAGATTTCTTCTATTTTATAGCGTAGTATAATCTTTTAATATGGCTTAAAATTGTAAAATCGTATCTGCGACAATTGCGTAATTACGGTCTCCTCGTTTAATTGCATTTTTATTTTTGCATCCTCTCGGAAAACTTTTTCAATAATTTGATTTTTTATTTGCCTGACTTCGTAGAATATATATAAAATCGTAATAAAGTCTTGTCTAAATTCGTATATATTTAATACATATCGTTTTTAAAATAATATCTACTGTTTTAAACTTTTTAAAAATTTAACATGGGCTGTCTAAGATTAAAGATACGATTAATTAAACGATGTCAAATGTAGTCTATTGGAAAACTCAAAAATTGAAGTCATGTATTATTTAAATCTCTGACAATTTTAAAAGACTTGATCAAACAAAGTCAGACATGGCCTTTGACTATTTCCAATTACCACGTTTATATTGAAAATTATGGTTATTGCGATCACACTGAGTGCCAAAACCGATAGTGGATAAAGCACGTCCGTTTTGGTCTGTTTTGAATGCGCAGAATCTCCGTTAGCACGCAGTAGCCGAGAAAAGACTGTGATTGTGCAAGAAGATAACGCCGGAAAATGCAGCGAAGGATTCTCCAAAGGACCTGTGAGCTTTCAGAAGGAAGGATATACAAGCGAGGAACTTCAGGGTTCCTACAGTCAAGACGGCGACTTTCTTCACGACGAGATGATACGAAGGAGAGAACAGGCGTTGAGACAACATGCTTTCTTCCAACTTCGTTTGCATATAAGAAGAGGCGCAAATCTCGTCGCGATGGACAGATGTGGTAATAGAAAAAGAGAGCTTTAAGTATTTTTGGTCAGAGAAGAAATATATTTATATCCGCATTTTTTTTTAAATAAACTATTCTAACTGCTTTGTAAAGTAAATACTGCTAAATATATATTGCTTACCATATCATAAAAAATATTGTTTAAAACCTGTAATAGTTTAAAGTCGTGTGAATATTATTATGTTTACGCCTATAAATAAAATATGGCTTAAGACATTTGAGCTCATTTATGAGAAGATAGAAAATTATATTTATCGCATATAACTATAAATTCACGATATATGGTTTGCGATTCGCTTTATGATTTCAGGCGCCAGCGATCCTTATGTGAAAGTAAAATGCTCAGGGCGATTGTTGCACAAATCGCGAACCGTTCATCGTGATTTAAATCCAGTTTGGGACGAAAGTGTTACTTTACCGATAGAAGATCCTTTTCAGCCACTTACTATCAAGGTATATTTAACAGTTTTCTTATATCAAAATTTATTATATACATAAAATGCAGAAAAGCAAAATTGTTAACATTTAATAATTTCAATTTTTATCAAACGCAGAAATTTCTATTGGGAATAATTTTTTATTTATTTTAATACAATTAATAATTCAAATTGTTTATAAAATGCAACTAGATGTTTGAAAAATAATTCGTATTAATTATAATAAAATATAAAAGTATTTCATAATTATACGTATATTTTATTATTTATAACATTCTAATGATAAAACAAACCTTCTATGTATTGACAGGTTTTCGATTACGATTGGGGTCTACAGGATGACTTTATGGGGGCTGCTCTGCTGGATCTTACGCAACTCGATCTCGGACACTCTCAGGATATAACGTTAGAACTTAAAGATCCAGACAGACCAAAGCAACATTTAGGCGAAATCTACCTGACAGCTACACTTTGGCCAAGGAATCAACAAGAAAAAGAACAGGTACTTTTATCCTCTTCAATCAGATCGGATTAAGAAATTCTTTTATCTTTTCTCTTTGATTGATTTATCTGGGAGATAATTGGTTAATCAACTGTATGTATACATAAAAAATACGAACAAATATTTAAGATAAAATACTGAATAAGTATCTACAAAAAGTAGCATCGTAAAGGGTTAAGCAAGGGGTTATAAACTAACAATAAGTGTGATCCCGGCGTCGATCGTTCTTGGTCTTAGTAGAGAGATGTGCGTATATTTATAGCGTGTGTATGAAGAATAGGAAACTGGGTTGTGAGGGAAGTATGCGCCCGCGTCCGTATTACGGTATCGACTTGTCGTTGAAAGTGGAGTGCAAGGCCTGGCCCTTATCGCGCGGCAGCTCCACTTATGTATTAACTATTATTAAACGCCATTCTGCGAGAAATAACTAAGTTGAAACTCTCGAGTATTACGTTACATCCAATTTATTTATGAATTAATAATAATTTACATAGTAGTCTTCTCCGGTCTTCTCGGAATAACATTATGTTTATTCAGATGTATTGCAGTTAGGTCATTTAGATCTTATAATTACACACACTGCGCAGTCCGATTCCATTAATTAATTTATGTTAGTCTTAGTAATAATTATACTTTTAATAAATATTTGGAATATTAAGATTTGATTATAACGTGCAATTTGCATATAATTCGAATTTATTTCAAATCATTGCTCATCTAGTTTTAAAGATAATTTAACTTTAAAAAAAAACTGGCCAAATCGTTCTGTATAGAATCTAATTTTGTATATCTGCTAATACTTTATTTTAATAAAAATATTAAAGTAAAATCGAGCATAGAAAAATAAAATACAAGTAAATGAATACATGATTATTGAATTGATAATTTGTGGTATAAGCTGCGTTTGACGAGCTCGATATCAGCGCCATTTTATCTTTATTTTACATTCATCTAATGAACGATAAACACAGAATGTCACGAAAGCGCTGATAGCTCTATCACTAGAGCTCCTCGAATGTAGCCATAGTTGACCTCTCTTTATATTTTCATTTAAAAAATATCGATTTCGAGGTTAAAAACTGTCAGATGAAATATTACTTGTTGCAATGGGTATCGGATACTCTGTGTACTTATAAGGCCGGCTGATAAGTGTACATACTACACCGTCTATACATTACGTATGACATATTCCCATATATCACACCGAACATATTAATAGCCCGTCGTAATCCAATGCTGTAATTCGAAGCAATAATTTTTTTAGATAAGATCTCTTAAATTATGATCAATAATAATGATCGGGAACGTTAATACTAAAAATTATTTTATTTTATTATTAAATGCATCCGCGCTTTATCCTTTCAGAAATTTAATTCAGGAAAGAGTTAATTATGAAGATAATTAATGTGGAATAGAAGAGTTATAAATATATTTAATAAGAAAAAATAATTAATGAAAAAGCATCTAAGAAAATTTAATATTTTATTTTGATGATAGTAGCACTTTTTTACTTTAAAAATATCTAACGAAAACATAATTTTCGAGTTATTATCATGAATGAGTTAAATAAACATTATTCTATCAATCACCACAAAAATTAATTTATTTTATTTTATTTAAAAAACGTCAAAGTCGTTATTATTCAAAAAGAGTGAATTTTTAAAGATTACGAAATGAAAACGACATCCGATGTTAAAAATATATTCTTTTACCGACATTATTAGATAATCAATAATTTGCCATCAGGTTAAAAAACAATTTTTCTTGATTTTTGAGAAACTTAATCATTTAAATTGTGTCACTTTGAAGTATTTACTTTTTAGAATTCTTCAAATCTTATTAATTTGATAGATAAAATAATTTAAAAATAAAAGATGTGTAGAAGAATATTTTCACATAATTAAATGAACTTTTTCTTTTTTTGATGAAAAAATTTCGCTGAAATTAGTCCATGTTTTCAAACACTTTTCAACGAAATTTCAGCATTTCAGAAAAATTTCAGTTTAATTTCAGCGATTTTTAGTTAAAAAATTTATTTTTAGCAAAATTTTAGCGAAATTTTAAAGAAATTTTAGTAAAAATTTCCGAGAAATTTCTATAAAAGTTCAAAGAAATTTCAGTTCAATTTCAGCGATTTTTCAATATGTAGCTGAAAAATTCAATTTTCAGTGAATTTCAGTAAATTTTTAGCAATTTCGCGGAAATATTTCGAACCCTGGAATAATTTCAACAAATTTGCTATTGTGATATCTTCTTGCTTTCTCTATATGAGTTGAGAAATAGCCACATCAGAATATCGTGCATCGCGGTTACGGCATCATGTATACACAATGTCTCAGTGTTTGCCGACATAACATCACTTTCTTGTGCGAAGAATGGAGAGGGAAAAGAGAAGCCCAGCTGGCCGGTACGCTTCGCAGGTTGCCAATGAAGAAACGAGTTAGTAGTCAGACGACTTTTGCCGTCTTACTTTGTGAGCACGACAGGTGCTTCGAGCTTATCAGTGCGGTACCGATTTGATACCCGACACGGAAATGTATTCTATTGTACGTTAGTAACGACTTCACCTTTGTTCCTGATAAGAGACTTCCGATTGCCTTGTATATGTGTGACTGAATTGTATTTCTCACCTATATTTTTCACTGTGACTCATCGGCACTAATTGGCAATATTGAATACTGTGATCATTGTGAGGAAGTGCTTATATTTGCACTACGATTTTTGTAAACTAAGATATACAATTGAGTCAGTGTGTAAATCTATGCTCACGGATACTTTTTTTCGCGTTTTTTTTTCTTGCGCGTATCAGTTGTTGCGTTGTATAAAACGTGAACTTTTAGCGCGAGTTCTTCAGATTATCTGTGATTGCTATAAGAGATTTCGTTTTTTGCTTATTATATAAGAAGAGTATATAAGTGTAATTAACGTTTTATATTTGGAAAATATTAATTTTGATAAAACTATAAAACTTCTCAACGCATGTGCACGTATCATACGAAAGATGCAGAATCATCATGTTTAAACGCAGCTTGTACATTTCCGATGCATTATGAAATCTGATGATTGACATCTTTTTTCATGCAAAACATGCTTAATCGCTCTTATTAAGAATGACGTATCGAGTAACGATATCCACGAATAAAAAACAAAAAACACGAGACGATCTTTTGGCTTTGTCTGTTTGGACGCGAATCCATGAAAGATGCAAGCCGATCGAACGAAAGATGAGAATGAATTCACAGTCATTTAGCTAGCAAAGAGAACTAAGGAATAAGAGCATCGACGAAAATAACACGTTATACAAGCGCTTTCTACGAAGAAAACTATTCATAATTTATCCGTTATATATTATTTGTGCAAATTATTCGAAAACGTGTTTAAAGCAATTTTTATTCGTGACAGCGCAATCACTACAGAGGAGAGACCTGGGAAATTATTCAATTTGAAATCGATAGTACACTCAATCTGTATTTGAGCTTAACATATTCGAAGTCGATTTCACAACACATCCGAAGTTGGGAAAAATAGCGATCGACAAAATATGCAAAATTAATATCATGCAGAGTGAGAATCCGAACGAAACTGTGCTCGTCGCATCTAAAATGAACACCGCGTCCAAAATAGACCTCTTATCTAAATTAAATGTCGCAAGTGAACTTCATACTGTGCCTAAGATCGAAGTTACGTCAGAAATTAATTCTACGCCTCAGGACGACGTTGCAGCCAAGACAATGGCTATGTCAGGGAAGAACTCTGTCGATGATGTATCTAAAACTGATGCTACGTCTGAAATTTACGTAGTTTCTAATGCGGATATGGTGTCTAACAAAGTAGATGAGTTGCCTACCGATAAATCATCCGATATTAGCGTGCCTTCCAGAGGATTGCGTCGAAATAAACTCGCGGATCAACAAGAGAAACGACATTCCATCACGGTATTGGATCGATCCGTATCAAAACAAAAATTCGAGAAGGATTTTGCCGAGGCGAAATGCGACGCTACCGTAAGCATTGCCGGCGTCTTGGCATCGGATGGCAATTTTTGCGGGAATATTCGAGTCGAGGAGAATTCGAGAGAATCGAGTTCTGTCGCAGGCGAAAAATCGAGGATTCAGCATACGTTTGCAGTTAAAGAACTCCCGAAGATGAAACGAGCCGAAGGACTATCTGTCAAAACGACTTCCGAACTTACGGAGGAAGGATCGAGCGCTGTCGAAAGCGAGAAATCGAAGCTCGAGGAAGCATCGGCGATGATAGGAGTTTGGAAGAGGCGAATGATTGAAGGATCGTCCACTGAAAATCTGTCTGGGATCAAGAAACGGAAGACAAAGGATTCGTTAAGAAGTTCTCTGAGGCGGAAGGTGGATTTGATAGAGAGAATATTGGAGGATCAGGTGGAACGAATCTGGGAGGAGAACGTGGAAAAGCATACGTGGCTGCAACCGATCGAAACATGGATCACTGATCACCGCAGGCCTTCTGGCTACACGTTAACTCACTGTCAACTCGATACTGACGCAACCGATAGCTTGACGGATATTAATCAGGATATTATATCGGAATCCACGTACGATTTCAAGTTCACACCGGCAAAGGGTGAAGACGAGGAACCGAAAATTGAGAGTGGACTGATGGAAAATCGACGAACCGCGAGGAACGACGAGCAAAGGACCGAGAGCAAAATCACCGAACATTGGCGAAGATTACGAAATCGGACTGCTTCTCCAAAATCGGATCGATTTGAGCCAGCGAATTCAATCACGCAGCTAAACAATCAAGAAGTTACTTTCTCAGATACGGAAAATGTAGAGGATAATGTTGCAAATGTTTTAAACGATTCCGGCGTTTTGGAAGTGAAAGAAGTCAAACGCTACGATCTTCTGGACAGATTGAAGGACAATGTTAAAGGAAAGATGGAGGACATTCATAGGGTAGAGACACAAAAAAAATTTTTAATATTTATTTACTTCCATATCTGTGCATTATTAAATAACATTTTTTTACAGTAATATCACATTATAAACATTAAACGCAGAAATAATTGATAAAATTAAAACTATAAAAAAATTTTATAAAAAATTGTTTTTTAAAAATTATTTTTAACGAATTTTGTTTTTGAGATTTTTTCAGTAAAAAAGAAAGAATCGAACAATCGCAACGTTTAACTGTGCGCATTTATTATTTTAAATTTGCGATAATTATGTTATATTGTAGTAAAAATTTTACATTTGTCTCTCTAGCAATAATTTTATTTAGTGTCCTATTTTTCCACTTTGCAGTATTTTCAGAGAACTAATCGATTGGCGGACGTGAATAGACGATTGAAATCACAAATATGGAGTTCGGTGGTGACAATTGTGCTCGTGGAGGCAAAGAATTTGTTGCCAATGGACATAGACGGTTTGTCGGATCCTTACGTGAAGTTTCGGTACATAAAATCCAATATAAAATACATTGCTTGATCAACGAATGCAGGTTTTTATTTGGATATCGCTTTATTTGCGTCAAAGAATTTGCTAGAACGTTTTAATTCAGATTGCTTTTTTATTTGCTTGTTATAAATATTTTTAATTAAAACTAATTAAATTGATCAAGTTATAGTATCTCCGATATACATATTTCACTCATATTTATTATTCGATGACTTTTATTTTTATTTACAGTAGTATATTTCTTTTTAAAACACGGCATGATATGAATATTTTAATAAATGTTTTCAATGTAATTCTCTCTTTAATCTTTTATTATTTGTTATTTTATCCTATTTAACATGTTTATAAAGATTTATAATATCAATATAAACGTAAATATATATAAATTGATGTTGTCGATAGTATAATATTAATTGATATTATAATATCGTATTTGCTCACTTTAATTATGTAAAATGAAAATCATTTTGTTTTTGACGTCACGGTAAAATTAAATGGAATGAAATCTCAGAGATATTAGCAATTCAAACTGCACTCGTTTAAACTGAGGAACTTAAACTATAGCTGAAGCTCCTCATATAAATACTAGAATCCCGTATCCTAATTTGCAGGCTCGGCACGGAGAAATACAAGTCGAAAGTCGTTAACAAAACACTGAATCCAATTTGGTTGGAGCAGTTCGACCTTCATCTCTACGAGGATCCGTATTTAGGACAAGAGTTGGAAGTGACTGTTTGGGACAGAGATAGGAGTCATCAGGACGATTTAATGGGCAAGACAATGATCGATTTGGCGACTCTCGAGCGGGAAACGACGCATCGGCTATGGCGCGAACTCGAGGATGGTTCGGGCAATATCTTTTTACTTTTGACGATAAGCGGTACTACAGCCAGCGAGACAATCAGCGATTTGGCCGTACACGAGGAAACGCCAATAGAACAAGCACAATTGGTCCAACGGTATTCCATTACAAATACTTTACAGAGGATACGTGACGTAGGTCACCTGACAGTAAAGGTAATTAGAAACGATTAAACATAAATTGCTAACACACATGTTAGTATATTAACATACTAACGTTGAAGTGTTAATTTTTTTAGAACAAAAAGCCAAGTAAGAAGAGTAATAATTAATGTATAGGATGTTCTCGAAATAAGTCGCCAAGTTTTGGACTATTTTGTCACGTCCAGAATGAAGAAAAGTTTTAATATATTTATAGATCTGAGAACTTGTCTTTATCGAATTCTGTCTGCGGTAGAATTTTGTCCTACAAGTAAAATACGCTGTTAGAGTTTGGCGATCTAGTTCATGGATATGCCGTATAATGATATTGATAGTAGATTCATTATGTATTATAAATAATTTTTGCCATATGAATTATGTATAAATACATTGACATATTATATAAGACCTGAAGTAAAGAGAAAATATTTTTAGTCAATATTATGACGCGCTTATCTCGAAATGATTTTTTAATGCTATGAATTAGTAAAACACATTCGATTGCTGAACAAAAAGCATGCGACTTTTTCAAGTTGGCTAAAATAATAAGCCAACTCTTTTACATTAAGTATTAAATAATCGACAAACAGACATAATTTGAACTGTGTTAAAGTTATATTACTAAAAATTATTATTATTTATTAATAATTAAATATATAGAAGAGAGTCTATTTGCTTTATGACTTCCAACACTTTTATTAAAATTATATATTAAAGCCGTTGATAAATTAATTTTTGTCAATAAAAATTATATTGAAATCATATATAATTCCGTTAAGTAGTTTTTCTACAAAAATATATATTTATATCTCTTTTCGATTTCAATAATTTAATAAAAAGATTTAGCCATCGTTTGTTATAAAAATTTTCATTAATAAATTAAAATAAAACAAAATTTTAAATAAATTTTATATTATGGTTTGTTTTTAAATTAATTAATCTTTTTACAGGTATATCGTGCACAGGGTCTTGCAGCTGCTGATCTCGGTGGTAAAAGCGATCCTTTTTGTGTTTTGGAGCTTGTAAATTCTAGATTACAAACGCAAACGGAGTATAAAACTCTCACGCCGAATTGGCAGAAAATTTTCACCTTGTAAGTTATACCTTAATCGGAATGCCCTTAATTATATTTAATGTCAATGTATTTAATTATCATCGTGCACTATCAGATAATAAGAAAAGTTGGATATGATCAAGTGTGCAAGAATATGATCAAACAGCTTGAGCTATTCAGATGTAATTGAGAGTAAATTTTGTTGCTCCTCAACAGTAATGTAAAGGACATCAATTCCGTTCTGGAGGTGACGGTGTACGATGAAGATCGGGATCATAAGGTGGAGTTCCTCGGGAGGATGGCGATACCGTTGTTAAAAATTCGTAACGGTGAAAAACGATGGTACGCATTGAAGGACAAGAAACTGAGGGGTCGCGCGAAAGGAAACTGTCCTCAAATTCTTTTGGAAATGACCGTCATATGGAACATATTGAGGGCGTGCATTCGAACTCTTAATCCGAAGGAAAAGAAGTATATGGAGCCGGAAGTGAAATTCAAAAGACAAGTCTTTCTGCGAAATGTTCTCAGGCTCAAAGCTATTATTGTAATATTCATCGACATAGGGAAATACATACAGTGAGTGACTTTAACTTTTATTTGAATTACTGAAGATGTGAATTTTTATCTTTTCAATCCTGCGTGATATGGAAAATTTCTAACTATTATGGAATATATCTACGATTTCATTAATAGCGAAAATTACATGTATTAAATATATGTCACACAATCTTAAAAACATAGTTTTATTCTAAATCAAGAACTAAAATCAAAATTAATCAAATCAATTAGGCTTGCTTTGAGCTAGATAACAGTACAGCATCTTATCGAAAGAAATATATTCTAAACAAATTTTGTAGTTCGTGCTTTCTATATATTCATGGCAAGAGAAATATTGGATTAAACTGAAATAAATTCTACAGTTTATGTCACTGCTGCTATTTATGATACTATTTTTTACTTTATCCTACGGTTAGGAGCTGCTGGGAATGGGAAAGCAAGATGAGGAGCATCTTCGCTCTGGTAATTTTTATTCTTGGATGTTACTACTTCGAACCGTATATGATACCGGGCGTGGCATTATTGATTCTTCTAAAGTATTATCTGGTACGTCACTTTTGTTATTGGTTTTATTAAAGTTTTAATCCGGCACTCTTTCGCATGTTTATATTCTAAACTAATATAATTGATGATATGTGAAAACTTAAACACTATTATTGAACATTGGCTTTTAAAGCCAATAATATCGAGTGCACATTTGCTACGTAGCATGCGATGTATCTTTTAAGTTGTAAAATCTAAAGCCTTTAGTATCTTTAATTTCTTGAGCAATGGATTAAAACTTGATTTACTTCTAGCGCGTGGTTTTGGATGATTCCAATTATTAATTGCTATGCTATGAAACGCTTACTATTCTTTATAATTCAAAAAGTCTATTTTTAATTCTTTAATCTTTATTCTTCGCTCTCTATTGCCTTTCATAAATAATTATAAGAAATGAATAAAATATACTCTTTTTCTTTATCAAATATTTCCATGCTATTTTGTAACATCATTTCTGGAATCCTTATATATGTAAAAATGTCATATCCCATTTGCGATGTAATTTTGTAGAAGAATTTCTTCTCTCTCTTAACACTTTTTATTGAGACTAAATCGTGCATGTCTGTGATGCCCTCCTTACTTTAATATTAGAATATTTCGGAATTTACATACGAAGAATTCTAAAAGAGATGTAAACTTTTTTGGCACTTCCAAATTGTTAAAACATCCGAGAAATGTTCTAAAAAGTTACAAAATTATTCAGAAATTCTAAAAAATTCTGAAAAATTCTATGAAAAATTTCAAGAAAAAATTTTATCATGATAATCTTGCTGTGCACTCGGGATTGGATATAAACATCATATTCAATCTTAATACATTTTTGGTAAAAAAAAACATTTTTTTCCATCTATTTTGTACAAAAATCTATTTAAAAATAAAAAGTCATGAAAGAAAAAGAAACTTCTAGAATTATTTAAAAATATTAAAAACGAAAGGATCCCGCACTAATTATATGAAAAATTAAGTTCTAATGAAATGAGTTAGTTTTAGATGTAGTTTATAATATGATGAACAAAAGATACATCGATTCAATAAAGACTCCATATATAATGATTAATTTTTAAGTATGTATAAAAAAATGTGAGCACAAGTGTTTGGCATATTATTTATATTTAACATAATTCAGTTTTGATACACCATAGCTTAAAAACTATCTATTATGGAACTTTTCATTTTTTGTTCACTATATTATTAGTTACATCATATGTGAAAACTAATTCATTCCACCGGAATTCAACTTTCCATACAATTAATACAAGACCCTTTACAGAGTTCTTGTAAATAAAAATAATTTAAATGGATTCATGTGACACAGTAGGATTAAAAATCAACTATTCCAAACTACTCTTTGGCATCTCATAAACGAAACAAAAATTGTGGTACTTTTTTATATATGTTTATAATCTTTGTATATTTTTATACATACTTTGTATTTTCTGACATGATCCCTGCATAAGTGCAAGTTACCTCCGCTTTCTTTACTGGCAATGCTGCATGTCGAATTTCTTTGCTACCTGTCAGCTTACCGGCGAAAGGAGCGGGTTCAATCATTGGATTTGCGGACAGGTCGCAGTGGTAACGGGCGCACCTTTAATATACGCAACTTCGCAGTTTCAAGATCATGCAGAGATTGGGTCCGACGATTGCCCGCCGACACCGGGGGACGATGACGATGACGAGGACGACAAAGACAAAGTGAGCGTTACTATATCTTCGAAAATTACGAAATTCTTAATTTATTCGCGTCGCAAATTATAGAATTCTTTATTAAAAAAATCAAATAAAACATATATAAAACATCATCCATTTATACCGTAATTATATTTACTGCTACAAAAGTTTTTTGCATCGATTCGTTAATATGGCTAAAGAAATGGTGCAAGCAACACTCATACTGGATTTACAAAATAATAATATAAATTGTATATGGCAAATTCTCATTTACGCATCATATACTGTGCTCCATCGAATAATTATTTAGCGCTATAACCTTCAACCTATGCAAATTAATTAACGTAGATTAGTCTCTTGTGTTAGAAATAAGCCATACTGTTCAAAATTAAGCACCGCCATTGGATGTTCTATGCATCTCGTTACGCTCTATGAATCACAATAGTGCCCGGATAAAGATGTTATCTTTACGAGCAACAGCGTAGTTCCGTCGTATATTATAATTTAACGGTATATTCGTATCGCATTTAGATAAGATATAAGAACAGATAATGTCATATGAAACTGACTCGATTAATACAGAAAGCTAATTAATTAATTTGCAAACATTGTTAACCGCACAAATAATATATTACTAATTTTTCTTGGGCCAGTCTTTATCGGATTAAATATTTTGTTTAATTTTGATCCATGTGTTTGTCTTTGGTATTAATTTGTAATGGGTTTAATTTTATTTTTGCAATCATCAGTTTCTTTTTTTAATGCTAATTTTTGCACGTTAAATATATTTGAATAAATAAAAATCGAAAAATATTAAGAAACATCTAAATGTTATTTCAGAAATCAGTGTGTTTTTTTTTAATGTTTAAGCAACAAATTCTACGTATTTTATCTATCAATGATTTTTTAGGAGGAGAAGAAAAGTCTGAAGGAGCGTTTACAGGCGATTCAAGAAGTGACGCAAACAGTCCAGAACTCGATCGGTTATATAGCTAGTCTTTGCGAGAAAGTGAAGAATCTCTTCAACTTCACGATCCCCTATTTAAGCTACCTGGCAATGCTTCTGGCGATTGCTGGGGCGGTCGTGCTCTATTTTATTCCTGTCCGGTATTTAATTCTCGCTTGGGGAGTCAATAAATTCTCTAGAAAAATCTTCAGGCCTCACTCCGTACCCAATAACGAGGTCCTCGATCTTATATCCAGAGTGCCTGATGATGAAGAATTACTTAATTATAGGTGAGTAATTAATAATAACATAGTACCATTGCCTCATTGAAATTAATCGGATTTTTTCGATTTATAGATGTAAAACGTCTGTGAAAATGTTTCGGGAAACTCGAGTGTAATAAAATGGTTTGATATTTTTGGCTTTACGGTTATTAAATACCATAAATTAAAAAAAAAACTGAATTGTACGATTTTATAGTTTAATATAACTCTGCATTTGAAAGCAAAAAGGAGTAAGTCGAAAATCATCATATCTCCATGTGTTTATGTTTTGTGTAACTAAGAAAGCAAATTTATTAATTATAAAAAAATCAGAAAATATAAAATAAATTAATAAAATTCCTGAATACAATTTTTTTAGTTATTAATATAATGCAGTAAATTTAATTTAAAGAATTGCAAAAAAGATTGTTGCATTATTTTTATATGAACAGTGTGTACATTAAGAATATAAATTATAAAGATATTAGAAATATTCGATCGGTATTATTCTATATAAGTATTATTTCTTACTTACGGAATATACTATTATAATACTAATTATAATAATAAATGTAAATTATATACAATGCGATTTTTCTTATTTGTAAAAAAGCGGCTCTTCCGTATAAATTGTTGGATCAGCGAAACTTTATATCATCTTCGCGATACAGCCGACGTTTTTGCGTCATTTTAAATTTGCAAATGAATGCGATGGGATCCTTCAACGCGTGTACTTTTACAGAGAACTAAAACCTGTGCCGACAGCGGATTGCGAGAGAGGCGGTAGTTCGGGCAGTCCCAGTTCGAACGCGGCGAGAAGAGAGCAAAGAAAGAGGCACAAGGCGGCGTAGCAGAATATCCCGCGGCCGGATGTCGCGGGTCCAAGGTCATCCAGTATCCTTAAATCGGTCCTGCTGCGCCGGAAATTGCGACAGCGAAAGGGATCAGCGGAAAATACGGATGTGATTGACATAGACTGAATATTCGTTCATTTTGTACCCTCCCTCGGTCGTGACAGCCTCGAATCTAACGTCAGCCGTTAGCGAAGATATCGCACGTGGTGTGCCTCGAAGAAGAGAGAGAGAGAGAGAGAGAAGTAAAAATGTAGCAAATAATGACAAATATTAACGCCGAAAGAGAAAACCAAATTGAATTTACTTTGGATGTATGTGATACATTTATTACGTGATAATGAAAACAAGGTTCTATCGCGCAAGATGAAATACACTGCGGTATGAACAAACGATTGATGATCATGTGATACGTTTTAGAGCGCATCACGTTAAAAGAGAGTATAAAATGGTGCAATTATATATTGGAATATATATCATGATATATTACACGGAATATAAATCGCGTTATAGAATCATGGATATATAACATTTAATACATTAAAAATGTATATAACATATATTATATAATAAAATGACAAATTGCCATTGTCATTACAATTAATTATATAATGAATTATATGATCACGTCATTTCTTTTCCGTAGCGTGAGTATTTTATTGCTATTCTGTTTAAAAACATGTGATCATTAATAATCATTTTTTAATTCGTAGCTTTCATCAATGAATAAATTCAAAGAGGTAAATTCAAAGTAAAGTTATATAAAATTTAATTTTTTTGAATGTAAACACACGATAGTAAACGCTTCTAAGTTGGATTGTCGGGACGTTACTGATGACAATATGTGACAAATGTAAAAGCATGATCAGTGAAGAAGTTTGCATAATGTTTCGATTTCTTCCGTATTATCTTGTTTTTATTATGATCATTTCTATGAAAATGCAAATAATTATATACGGTGTCCCTATAGCCCAATCTCTAAAAATACTAAAATCCAAGACGTAAATTTAGAAACATGTAAAGATTCGAAGAATTATAAAAGTAAGAATACAAGCATTTGAAAGATTTATTAATTGAATTGAATTTAAATAAGAAAAGGTAAAAAGGCAGAGAGAAGAGAAATGATGGAAATAACCAAGAAGAAACCAGTTTTCTTCAAACATAGACACGTCCTTAAGACGTCTGTATGTCCTTAGAAAATCCTGAGAATATTGCCAGGATGTATCCTGGATAAAGCTATTAGGACCATAAATCGAATAAAGAGTAACTTCTTCTCTGATCACACAATTTAGATAAAAACGTGGTAACTTCTTTAAGATGATCTCTTAAGTGACAGAAAGTGAGAAAAATGAAGCTAAAAGGAGGCACAGGCAAGTTTGAAAGTATTCCATGTTAAAAGTGAGAGCCGCGTTTCGAGCATATCAAGGAGAGCAAGGAACGTGTGTTCTTAGAAATAATGAATTATTAAAAATAAGTATTTAAACAAAATGCGATGACATTTCTCTTAGGGGAACACTCGTCAATCGTTTCGTCCATCGGTGTCGTTAGTTAGCAATTAGAAATTATTGTGAGGGATAGAGAAATCTAAGAGAGCCAGTAAAAACATTTTCCAGAATACAATCATCCTAGACCGAGTTCCCGCGGAAATTACATATAACTGAAAATAGAATTTTATTAGTTCATTTAAAATTAATTCGGATATTTTTTTACGCGCTTTTCTTATAGATAATTCAGACATAGCTTTTCAAAATTATTTGCGGGAACTCCATGAAATGTCCACTAAAAATCTATTGAAATGAAAGAGTTTTGTGTTATAGTATTTGTAAGTAATAATTTTATAGAGATGCAGAAGGGCTTATTTAGGATTAATAAGAAATTACACGGCGAAACTTCCGCGTTAAACTTAATATATTCGCGCATGCGGTTTTGCAAAATCGTGTTAGGCGTGCTTACATACGTTGCGTGCGATGGTTCCCTTCTAAAGCGTCTGACGTTATTTAAGTTTTTATTTCAACGCACAGTTTTATCTGTAATTAGTCGAGATAGAAAGAGAAAGAAACGGAGAGCGCAAGATTACTTTATGACGGCGTTTCTGTGTGGGGAAAATTGTTCTTGCGATAAAAGCCGGTTGCCTTTTCAATCGGAAATTATCCAGATCATGGCGCGTGTGTATTTCTACAACGATATTTCGCACTTGCTTAGACATGCGGTTAGATAACGTTAAAAGATATGCAGTCTGTGTGCGATAATTTTTTTATCGCGTGGAGAAACAAGTTCGATGTACTGCTACTGCTACGAGTATCGACTTTAGCATATGCCTTTTCAACGCGATTATGCAATCGTCGTTGCTGTGATGTTTTCTGTTCGGTGTGCATTCATTTCGTTCTTATTACGTTAAAGCTTTACGTCGTTCAGTTGTGCAATTTAAAAATTGATAAAGTCGTAATAGAGAACGAAACAATTGAAGATACCTATTGCATTATAATATAAAATAAAATACTAATACAGTTTTTAGTATTATGATATCATAAAATACTAATAGTTTTTAGTATCATAATTCCACTTAGCAGTTATTTGAGAATTAAGAGCTTATTTGCAAATTATCTTAAGTTCATTATTTTTTTTAATGAAGAATATATCACAGGCTGTGTTACAAATGTGTACTAAAGGCATTCCGTGATATTTTGTTTTTTAGAGGTTTGAATTTAAGGCGATTTGAAAAAAAATAAATTTTTTCATTATGATTTGATTAATCGAACACTATCATTATTCAATATTTTTATCTTATATGCTTTATTGTGTAGTTATTTTTTTTACATACGCAAGATTTAAGTAATTATTTACTTAGGGAATAGTATGTTATAATTATTATATTCGTTGTAATTATTATTAAAGTTAGAATATTTATTTTCATTATTTATCTAGACAAAAGGTAAGCTTTTAGCACATCAACGGATATATGATTATAATGCGATTGTGATCTAATTTCATTATAAAATTTTTAAAAATATCCAACTATGACATTGTACATTTAAAAAAAAATATGTAAAGAAATGAAAATACACACATAAATAGAAATATCATAATTTATAGTAAACAATTATGAATATTTCATAACAATACAAATAGACAGAATAGATTATTTTAAAGTTTTCTTGTCATTACAAATTTCTCAACCAATTTAAAATACATTTTTTTATCAGTAAAATCGATAAATACATAATTACTGAATAACTAATAGAAAAAATAATTTTGTAAATTAAATTTCAGAGGAACCATTTGATAAGATTATTTTCAATCAATTCAAATAAATTTTATTAAAATCTTCATTTCAAATTCATTTGCAGAAATATGCAATGTTAAAAATTGAGAAAGTATAATGACGATTTCACTGGATATTTTTAGAAAAAATCGATTTTACATGTATTGATGAAGGGAATTATAATTGAAGGGATACGCATTTGGAATGCATTATATAATATGTCGTTTTACATGGTTCATATGTGGGATAATGTTAATTAATAAATATATGATACACGAGGCGAATTCTTTTTCTCCGTGATATATCGCCTCGGCGACCAAAGTCAGAGTCGCAGATTCGTTGTGCAAATGCACTCGCTCGAGGAGGCAAATAGTGCGTATCAATATTTATTTCTAGTCGCAATTTTACCGATTCGTGGCCGGTGCGGGAGAGGAAGAGAGAGAAAGTATGAAAGAACGTGAGAGAATGAAAGAAAGAGGGTAATATATCGCTGATCCATTTTTCGCTTTTCTATAAATTATATATTATAAGTCGTTACATCGTGTATACGTCTTTCTCCAGTCTTTTATCTTCGATTTACTCATTCTCATGCTATATAAGCGCCTCGATGATCCTTCCAACACCACTCTTGTTATGGAGCACAACACGGGGCGCATTTATTCCACACATATATACACGTATATACACATAAATTACATAACATACTGGGTATGCCACAACCGTCGGTCGTTTTTCTTAGATTATTTTTACGAATTCCTTGGCTACTTTGGAATTGATTTTTCCTGTCGATGAAAAGATCAAACCTATAATTTCTTGAATAATTAACTACTGATTTAAAGAGCCCTGGTGGGGGGATCAAATTACATAAATTACAAAAATAATATATCCTTTTCTCGATTCTTCAAGACTTTAATAGAATTTTTATTTGAAGTTTAAACACGGAAATATCTAATATTAAATTTGGAAGTGTGCAAGAAAATATGATTTTCCTCGACTTTTTCTAAGGAAAAATCTCCAAATAAACCAAAAAAACTACGGTTATAGGATATCCGGTGATTATGGGACCTGTACACAACGCGTTATTTTTTTTCGTTATCAAAGGCCTAACGGGCGAGCTAAAAACAAACATGTTACATATATATTATTACAAAGCTTTACATCATCTAGTCAACGAATTATATTTATATTTATGAACAGCGAATCGCTATGTCTTGAATCATTTCTCAAGTTTGCACTTATATTTCTGGGGCTTCCTAATTTAATCTTTAATATAAATTTTAATATTTAAAGTTTTTTTTATTATTTTTAAGATGTTCATTTGTATTCCTTTATTTGTATTAAAAATTATTTCAGATGTTTTTATCCGAAATTAATTGGAAACTAAAATTTAATATTCTCTAGCCTCATATTCTTTACCTTAAAAATATTGAAAATAATTTTAAAATCAAATTTCAGTGTTATTGACTTAAAAAAATTAATTTTATTATAATTAAATTGCTATAATTAATACACAAAATATATTTCTACAGTATAACGAAGGGTTAGTAGTTTGGAATCGAAATAAGAAATTCAATTTTAAATGAAAAACTTGTTCACAAATGCTTCCTTAAAAAGTTATTCAAACTTAGTTAAAAATTTAGCTACAGCTTAAATAGCATTGTATTCTTGCCAAATATTCCCATTTTAAACCCTAATTGCGGATACCATTTCGCGTATTTTAATCATATAAAGGGATGCGACATATTATATATATATATTTTCATAAATTAATTTATATATCAATTTTACTCCAATATATACTCTTTACTCAGATTAGTTGTTTTAATCCTAAATTTGTGTTAAAATATAAAAGACTATAAAGAGTATAAAAGATTTCAATTATCAAAAAAGGTACCTGCTAAAACATTAATATTAATCAATAATCATTAATATCGTTACGGATACACAGTGGACATTTCACCAGTTCTAAGCCCGTTTTTTAACTATTCCTATAGTCCTTTTCTACTCTTCCAATTTTGTACTTCCACAATAAGATTTTATCCTCTTTCCGCGATCGATACAATCTATTCGCTTTCCATTTTATTACTTCACTGTTTTCGGAAATACATCAGCTGCAATATACGAGCAACACAATCATTATACACATATACTTAATATTCCTTAGTTTAATGGTAGAGCTCTATTCTC